CTTGAGGTATTTCCTGGAGTTCTAGTGAGAAGCAGTAACCGGTGGAGTTCAACCAGGTCTGTTGGGAGATAGGAACTCACTGATGACATTGGTGAATGGTTGCTCAATTTCGTGAATCAGTTGAAGTTAGAAATTAACATCGTTGGATGCCAGCTCAGTGGTCTATCGGTTAAGGGCTTCGGCTCGAAACTGGTAGGTCCTGGGTTCGAATCCCGCGAGAGTGGGTTCGTGGACGCGCACTGCTGAGGAGTCCCATAATAGGACGAAACGGCCGTCCAGTGCTTCCAGGTTTTCCATGGTAGTCAAGCTTCAATTGACTCATGATCTCAACTCTATAAAAATACTAAAATCTCCACAAAACCCCTTCTGATATTACTATTATTACTTAAATTTTCCCATTGATGTTTAGCGCCGTAATTGATCAGTCTGTTATTATTATTATTCATATAGTTTTGTGTTAGTTTCATAATTATTGTTGTTTAAAAATCACTATCAATCTCCCAAATACATGAATAATTTAGTTTTCATTCTAATTTATTTATTTATTACTGAATTCGTATCACTTTATATTGTTATGTAATCTCTTAGTAAACAACTCGTTTAATTTGTAATTAAATGATTATTTCTCTCTTATCCTCTGTTACTAATAGTTACTATGATTAATAGTTTCATACTTTTATTTAAGGTATAAACTTAATCAAGTTAACATTGGATACTAATTATGTCATCATTGAGAATTTTATTTCATTTGACTAATAAATCTTAATTCACAAACTCCTCTCAGTTCCGTAAACAACACCCCGCCACGAGAAGGCAGTGAGTAGGACTTCCCTGGCAGATTTATTTATTTATTTAAACACATAAATATTGGTACAAAGGAGCACCAGATAAATATGCGCCGCACAAATCTCATTTGATTTGTGTGAGGGCTGTGATACTGCCCATGTGTCTATACCGAAGCAGGTGGTTTTCTTAGGGGGCCACACCCGGAGCCTTTTACCTAAAGTTCTGATCTACAAAGCAGTGGAGCATCGTGAGGAGATGAGTCCCATGGTAACCGGTGACCAACGATCGATTCATACGTCATTTGTTCCCTGAGGTTACTGGAGCCCATGTGCACCACTGGTTTGGAATCGGGGTTTTCCAACTCCCCTAGGTGGACTTTCCGTGTCCACCAACCCGGTTAAAGCGCCAGACATTCGCTTTTTGACCTCTCACTTTTGTGAACAACACCCCCGCTACGAGAAGGCAGTGAATAGGACTTCCCTGACAGAGGCTATATACGCGTGGCCATGTGAGAGCATTTTGAGAGAGAAAGCATACTCCCCCCACTCTCGGTCGTATCATGGCAGAGAAACACTTTTAAATGGACTAATAAATGGTTTACTACCCGTTATATCCATTGTGTTATGAGTTAAATTTATTATTAGATTTACAAATAATAATCTTAGTAATGTAATTGGGTGGATACAATGATCTAGTGATACTCATTCAGTAAAAGCTAAATCGACTTCACAAATTATTTCTTTTTCCAAGTAAATGAGATTTAGCGAGTAAGTTCTAAGATCTTGTGATCAATTATAAATTGTAGATCAAAATAAAAGTTGTTCGAATTTTTTATTCAAATTTACTCTTGTCTTCATTTTTTCTTATTTTAATGTAAGTAATTTAATAAAATGTTTCAGATGTATTTCGTCATCGTAATGGAAAGAATAAACTAAGACGACACTTATTTCATATACAAATTTTATCGTATTCATATATTCTATTCTTAACTGGGTTTTTTTTGTTCTATTTTTTGCATACTTAATTATTATACAGTGGTAAACTAAAACTCTTAATTCTCTTTGACCAAAGTAAAACACAAACAGATCAAGTTTTTCAATTAAACACTCTTAAAATAGTCATTTTTGTGTAAATGCAAAAATGGAAAAGTATTTCTTGCTAATTTTCAGTGTTGTATTATATAAATAATGATAAGTGTTTAATCAGACATCATCCAACAGTCCAACAGTCGTCAGTTAATTTCAAATTTAACAAACTACAATAAGTTGCACTGAATTATGATTGTCATAATTCAAAAATAATCAGAACATTTCGTTATGGATAGTCAACATTTTAAGTTACTTCCTTCTTTAAAGTATTTTGTACATATATCAAGTGACTAATGAAGTATTTCAAAACTTTCTTATTTTCCCTTATATGTATATGCATTCCACCGTAGTTACATATTGCTAACTCATAGGATTGACAAGAAGAAAGCTGTCAATAAGACAAATGGTTAGTATGAATAAAGTAATATTGAACAATTGTCTGCAAGGTTGACAATGTCTATCCACAATCAGATATGTAATAAACGGAAATGATTTAACATTAATCTTAATAAATATTTGAACATAAACTGATAATTTGTTTCATTATGGTTAGTACAGTTAATTTATTCGAAGGTAAATTTAATACAAATTGATAATATTAAATTAGAAAAACATACTACACCGTTATGATTATTTATTATTATTATTCATGTTTATCTAGTTAACCAAGAAATTGACATTTTGATTTAAAACCATTTTACAAATATTTCAATATGTATATAGCTTATTATGTAATTCATTAAATTTCAGTCTGTAATTCATGTTTTGTTTAACTCAAACGATATTTTTTTAAAGGTGACTTGTCACAATTACTGACAATATTCAAACAATATTTGAATGATTTCCTAAATTGTTTAGAATCGAATTAATATTTACTTAGCACAAAAGGGGTTTTGTGGAGATTTCAGTATTTTCATAGTTGAAATCATGAGTCAATTGAAGCTAGACCACCATGGAAAACCTGAAAGCACTGGACGACTGTTTCGCTTCATTATGGGACTCTTCAGCAGTGCGCATCCTGGGTTCGAATCTCGCGAGTGCGGGATCGTAGATGCGCACTGCTGAGGAGTCCCATAATAAGTCGAAAGGGCAATCCAGTGCTTCCAGGTTTTCCATGGTGGTCTGGCTTCAATTAACTCATGATTTCAACTATGAATTTACTTAGCATTTAATTTGCACATATTGTAAGTTAACTGAATATATGGGCCATTAGATTTCAACTCAATATTCTATAGGCACTATGGAACACAAAGTTCCTTGGTGATCAGAAACATTAATCCTAGAAATTCTGAACCGATCAATGTTAACACTGATTGATTCATGATTTAAATGAAACTCAACAATCTCCTCAAACCTATACTGACGACACTAATCTTGTTTGTTAATAAAGGATAAAGTGAGCCGAAAAAAACTATATAGTAGTCGACGATGACATTGATTTATTAATCAAACTACTGAAATATTATTGTCACAACCGATCATCAAAGTTGTTTATTAAATTATGTTGTAATAAAATTTATTCACATTGTAATTTATAATTTTTACTACATTTAACGTTACACAAGTGTTGTTAAATATACCATTTAATTATGGGGCATTCAAAACGTTCCCCTTAAATAAAATTATTTTTTTGGTCATTACGTAAGTGAACGACCAATTAGATGTATACAAAATGTATATGACTATTTTTGTTTACAGTTCAGCGGGTTAAGTATCGTGGTATGTGTACTCTGAAATCAGGCTGCAAGTAGAATTCATTGCCAGAAATAATGAATTTAAAAAAAACGTACAAGTAACGTATTAAAACAGCGATCTATGTACAAGTCTTCGAGATATACAGTTATATTTCATTTCTTTAATTTAGTAACTAATTAAATATACCGATTGAACAATCATATACTTCCGTATGTAGTTTTAAATATGTTGCTTAACTGTCTACAAAGTTAGCATTGTTTCAAAGTCTGTATGGGATATAATTCAGCAGATTATAATCATTGGTTAATTACTTCACATAATTGAATACACGGATACAGATGTGATCACACTTTACTTTTTGTTATGTCTTGTGTCCTTGTGCTCTATTAATATATAACGTAATGATACCATCAATCATAGAGCAGTGATTCACCGACCTGACCAATGACACATAAAACCCGTACGAGCAGCCTAGAGTCTTTTTCGGTCGTTCTTCGTGCCTAACCCTGACTCTTAACCCTAGAGCACCAATCTCAATCTCCGCGATATAAATCATGTATTTATATACAAACCACATCATACCATAAAATAGAAAATAACATTTATACAAGATTTAGCAAATAGTGGCTGTGAATGTGGGAGATAGTAATTGATGGACTCGGTATAACTCAAGAATGGTAAATCATGTAATAATAGTTCATAGGTCAAAATAAAGCTTATAATAAGAGTAATATGAATAGACATAGTTTTGTTACTTAACAATTATACGATAAAAACATATGTATAATATTAGTCCAAAAATAAAATTCCAAAACAGTTACCATTCATTATTCTCATAAAGATATAACACTTTTGTTAAGTGCCAATTATTTCATAATTGTACATTAGTTTTATCTACGTCAATGCGTATTCTTTTTACAGTTTATTTTACTACTAATGCATTTGTTGTGTATTTTTTAATGTTTAGAATGATCCAGAAACAATGTTTCATTGAATTTCAAATACGTTAGAATATAGACATATATATATATATATATATATATATATATATATATATATTTATATAGCGTGTTTATACAAATATTCATCAAGATTAGAACAAATAGCTTGAAGAAGTTCAGATAAGTTAGCTGGACGAAACGTTGGCATTATTTAAATTTCAATCTCTGAGATTATTATTTCAAATATAATTTTCACATATAATGATTAGTGAGATGGTTTATATTACTAATACGAATTAATTAAATTTAACCCCATTGCACAAGCCAGAGGCTATCTAGACTCAGTAGCTAAATGGATAACGCAATGGCATTTGAAGTGAACGGTGCTAGGATCGAGTCCCGGTATATAGCAATTCTAATATTTTGTGAATAATAATATTGCAAAATCCTAACATTAAAGTTCATTTATTCTATACTTATATATTTACAGGTATACACGTGAAGTTCCAGAGTTCACTATAAATGGACAATTAAATAATCCTGAAGTGAAAATAACAATCAATGACTTAAAATATAATTTTTTAAATGAAAAAAATGTTATACGTAAGGAGAGGACAGACAAAAATAATGCACAAAAGGTAGATCACATTTAATCATAAATAATGCATTATTCTATAATTATACAATTAAAATGACTATTTAAAAGCTGTCTCTTTTTCTACTATATTTATTACAATAATATTAAGGTAAATATTTGTGTAAATTTATAAATTCTAAATAAAAAGTACAATTTAGATACTAAATATCAAAATTTTCGTTCAGCTACATATGTTTTCTATCTTTGTGTTACATTTCATTCTAGTTAGCTGAAAATATCTTTTCTTTGATGTCATATAATTCAGTGTATAAAAAAAAAAATACACATTGATGATTTTAACTAATCCCCCTCTTATGCATGAAGTTTAAATTTATGAAAGAAACACCGAAAATTACTTTTATATTCTCGACTAAAGTGTTTTTCACCTTATAACCTTTTACGTAGTCTGGTAATTACTGCAAATAAAAATTTATTTAATTTCTTTCAAATTGGTTATTTGGATCTTCCTATTGATGTTATAGATTGCAATTGATGAATCTTTTTCGGCATATAAGAATCATGTGAAGATTATTTTGATGTTCCCATTAAGTCACAAGCATATTTTAGGAGAGTTGGATAGCAACTATTATTGAAATGCAGTTCGTGCGTTTTGTTCTATTAGAGAATCATTAGCTGGATATACCAGTATTCCAATACAGTTAATAATACCGAGACTGTAACCAAGTACCTTTCGCTTCGAGCGCCTAACGCGTTATCCTCTGAGATACTAAGTCCACAGGACATTCCAGGGAATATTTAAACAACCAAAATAAATGAATGAAAATTCACTCTGCTATATAAACGAGTGGTTATCTGGACTCACTATCTCAGTGGATATTGCGCCAGGCATTTCAAGTAATAGGTACTTGGTTAGAGTCCCTGTGTGAATATTTGTACTAAGGTTCTGGTACATACAGCTGGCGAATACCAAGTAGGATGAAATGTGAGACCTGAATTTCCCTACTAGCTACTATACAACCCTGATTAAAAAAGGAGGTTATTTTATTGTTGGTCACTGTTTGGATTTTGATCAGATCATCAAGCTTAGTTTCCTAAATAAAATCGATCACAATTGTTATAATAGATTTGAAACCTTATAATACTAAACTTGTTATTTAGAATAAAGTATAAAGGTATACAAGCTATTGTATATTTTTGAATAATCTTGGTAATTTTAAACAAATAATGAAGAAGGGAACATTGATCCATCAACATCTAATGGAAAGATGTGGTGCAATCGCTTTTTGAAGGCTTAGATAATCTCATTAGACAAATGACACAATTGAACTTTGTTAGTAGATTGTTAAGAAATATGCCAAACCAAAAGATTGCATAGTTTCAAGCATATTGAAATAGTTTTTATATCTATATTTACACAATTTACGCTTCCATGAGTTTAATGTAAAATATCGTTTCGAGATTTTGTAATTGTTTTAATCAGTTGAAAAGAAATATATCTCTTATTACAAATGAACAAGTAAACTGGACAATAAATAAACTTTTAGTGAGTAATGTAGATTATACAAGTTTCTCCTAAACTTAAATACACGGAAATTTCCGTTTCTTCTGAGAGATTTGGTTTTCAACGATCGAAACTTATCTTGTGAATTAAGGTAAAATTGCTGGACACTATATACTTCATTAAGAACTAATTGACTTTTCATTTGTTTGAAAAGTGAATTATAGACCCAAAAGTTGTATATATTGACTAATACACCGGAAGATGTCCTCGTTATGTGTTATAAACTAGATTTAACTAACTAACTATAAATGATCTCACTCAGTAGATAATACGTAATTTATAAAGGTAGATCTAACTGTCATAATGTTTGTGTAGAGTTTTAATTTTTAACTTTTTACATGATCCACATTTTATTCATTGTAGGTGAATTCTAGAAGCGACATTTTACTGACTAACCCTCTACTTAATCAGAAGTCGAATAGAGAAGGCTCTCTCATTTCAGAGTCAAGTGGTACACACCCTTCAATTTTGCCAGGTGATATAAATATACCTCAGACGAATCCATATGTTTTTGAATCAAAACCACCGAGATATTTCAGTGAAACTGACAACCGAGCTGAAGTCGTCAATACAGATGATTTATCGGATCAAATTGTGGTTCAAGGGTGTTTTGTAGATGATGAAGATTGTGAATTAAATATTGCTGTTAATTCAATCGAAGATAATACCAATGAAAGACAGTTCACAGTACTTAGTGAAAATGAATCTTTCAACAATTTATCTGAGTCTAAGAAAAAGCTGCAAGGTATATATATACTCTAGTTCGGATGAAAAAAATAAATTAAAACGTTTCTGTAAAGCAAATATAACATTTTTTCCGTTTATAAATCTTACTGTTAGAATGTCGATTCGTTTTTCTACAGAAAATAATTGATAGTGTAGTATATTAGAAATACTGAAACTATCAACTGATTATTATCAGAAATCAGATGTTTCAGCAAAAAGTGGATTTGATTACTAAATATTCAAGTGAGGTTAAAGTAAACAAATAGCTGTTTTGAATTGCTTCAGACAAGTGGCGTTATATCCTATTATGATAATATTTATTTTTCTATTGGCAATTGGCTTCAAGATGAAATTCTTGAAGTTCTTGTGAATCGCAGAGGTCGATAGAAATCAAACACGTCAGTTGATTTAGTTATCCACTTCATACAATGAAGGATGACTACGCAACATCGTGAACTGATCGAAGATACACCTGTACACCATTGAATTTCCGCTTAGTAATGCCGCCTTAGGACGGAAAGGCTACTCAGTACTCCCTGGTTTTCAGTAGTGGTTCATCTAAGATCATTTAGTGATCCAAACAATGAAACCAACTGGCATCATATAACACTGTTTACAGCCAATAGTAACCCAGAATTATTACTGTCTACGTGTGTCTATGTATAGCATTTAAGTTACAATTAGGTAGTGAAAATTTGAACTCCCTATGATCCTTGTTTGTTTGTAAGCGACCACCTTCACAAACATTACTGAATCATATTTCTACTTCTTATACATCAGTGATGCGTAGCCTCTCTGAAATGATCACTGTCAACGGACTTCATCTTCTAGATACTATTAACTATGCTATGTATATAAAAATTAAATTTACAAAGTATTATCGTACTATTAAGCTGGAGAAGAACATGCTTTCTGTAAATTAGATAATTTTGATGTATCAAAATTTGAGCAAGATTAGTACTGATAAAGAAAAGCTTGTCATAATAGAGCAATGTTAAAGAAGAAAATGATTCTCTATAAAAAAACCTAGTTGACTATGATGATGGTTCTGCATTATTTAGAATCAATACGTTAGTGATCTGAATGTTTTTTTTTAACTGATACAAATGAAACTCGTAACCTTTTTCATGCGAATTTCGATATTCTTACTTGGTTACTTGTTTCAAAGATTGATAATAGTCAACCTTCTGAACTCTAGAAATATTACGTTGTTGTTTAACAGTAACAAGTAATCAAACATTTTAGATGGAAATTAAATTTACTTTCAATTTCTTGAAAGTTTAGAATTTTCTATAATCTACTGAAGTAAACTATTTTTTCATTGATTACTTATTTGTAGATGATCCGGTGAATGACAATAAAACAAGGGAATTTACAAAGAAAACTGAAATATCCTCAGAGAAAGTACTGAATTCTTCGGCATCTAATTTCTCGACGAATTTGAAAGTACAGGAAAATGTTAGTTTCAACAACAAAATGTCATCGAGACTGGTCTGCTTTGTTTGTATCTTCTCTATAAAGCTTTATTCATTCACATGTTTATAATTTTGAACAATCTTAAATAGGTCGTTGTAAATGTATATAAATCCCATGTGAATAATCAGTAGTATTTTACTTGCTTTTCACTACTAAACTTTCCATTTTGTTGAAACTTCCTCAGCTATTTTCCATTGCTGAACATACATTTTTTTATTTCAGACATATTGATAACAATGAAGCAAGCAGTGACAAATGATTAGTTCTTACAATAAATCTTTTGGATTTTGATGTGGATTTGTTTTATGAGCTGAATGGTTTGGTCGTGGAGCTTTCATCGTCTTTCTGAACGACATCATCAGCACAAACTTCGGGTAGAAGTGAAGTGTTTGAATTTCTACCCGAAGTTTGTGCTGATGATGTCGTTCAGAAAGACGATTAAAGCTCCACGACCAAACCATCCAGCTCATAAAACAAACTCACATCAAAATCACCCACCTGAACTACAAATCTTCTCCACCATCTCAAAATCTTTTGGATTTTCCAGTGTACATTCTTCAATTTCTATCATTATTTTGCGTTGTCGATTTAATATTTCCATCGTAAGATCATGCTCTGTGTCTACATTTTTAATTACTTCTTATACTTTTTATATTCACAGCTATACCTTATTATAAATCATCATGAAAAACATTTATCTTTATTATTGATTTAATTATTTATTATCAGTGATCTTTAGATTATCCATGTTGTCAAGTTTAGTTAAAATCTTCATTACTGCTGCCAAAAATAATATCGTCATGGTTTGTTTTATATATTTACTCAGTGTAATTATTAATCATTTATGACAAGAGAGTACAAAACAAAAGAAAAGAGGTAAGAAGTATAACTTACATACTAAATGTTTACCTAAAAGGATTGATATGTGGCTAGCAGTAGAATGCAGAATCCATGCTTCGTCCCATTAAAGATTTGTCAGCTGGATGTATTTGGATCCCATTATTGATGTTGTCATAAAGACTCTAATTCAGCACCCTTCGCTTCAAATATCAACGAGTTATCTAGTAAGCTAGTGAGTCTAGATGGCAGGTGATCTGATGATAAACTAGACTGAACTCGTGGAAATCGGCCATAATAAGGCAAGTACATCCCAACAAAGACTAATCAAAATTCACTCAGCGTTATCAACATTAAAACAATTCAATACCTTCCTGATGGTAGTGTTTATCTGAACGGCATAAAGTATATTAATTTGTTAAATGTCTGTTTAAATAAAAATGGAACTTAGTCATTTATGTATATGATTTGCAATTGTCTGAATGATTATCACTGAGTGGTAAGCATAATGATGAGACGGTATAACCATTCAAATAGTAAACATTTTCTTTGAGATACTTATATAAAAAAACATAGTTTATTTGATAACCGATAAGTCATATTTTGTTTATTGGAATGAGTATTTACTCGGTACATAACACTATTTAATAAGTGACATATGACATGTCCAGACAATGTGGAAGACTGGGAGAACCACTCAAATAGTTGCAGAAGTGAGGTGACACACCTTGTCGGTTATTGGGAGCAGGCTGGACAGAAGAGGTGAGCTTAAACAGAGATGTTGCTGTACTCTGATCACGAAGAAAAAACTTCTCTTAACAGGCAAGGAATTTCATTGACGATGTCCGAATAAACACAAAGAGCACTTATGGGATGAAATCTCAAGGATCCAGATTCGTCAAAGCATTTACCAAAACGAAGAAAGAAGGGATAGCAATGAAGACTATCAGTTTATTAAAGCTAAGAGACTGCGTTAAATCGTGGAGAAATTCTAAGGGGAGAACATAGCCATCCTAATAAGAAACCTGAATGTTAAATTCGAAAAAGATAATATTGGGTATGAAGATATCATGGGACAAAATGCACAGGGAGGAAAGAACAGAAATGATGAGAGCTTTGCAAATTTATGCGACTTCAATAAAATGGTTTTAAGTGGCACTATATTCTTTCATAAACGAATAAATAAAGCTGCATGGATCTCAACGAACTACACAACTGGAACCAGATCGGTCATATTTTAATCACTGGAAAATTCAGAAGATCCACGGAAGACTTGAGAAAGAAGAAAGGAACTACTATAGCTTCAGATCATCACCTGGTAGTTGCCGAGATCACACTGAAGTCAAAATCATACTGGAATGCTGGAGAAACCGCATCAGGAAAATTCAATATAGATTTCCAGATATTGACAAACTCAATGAACTCAATATAAATCTCAAAAACAAGTTCCAAGCCTTACAACATGTAAATAAAGAAGAGGAAATTACTATGGAGAACAAGAGGTGAGAGATCGAAGAAGCAGTAATTACGTGTCAGGAGATTCTAGGTCCCAAGAACCAACATCCTAAGGATTGTGTCTTTGCTGTTAATCTGAGCAGGACTTAAGAAAAAAAGAAAGAAAGAAAGAACAAGGAGAAAAAATTAACAACAGTCAAATAAGAACAGGGAAAGTCAAGGCATAAGGTGAATACACGGAAGCAAACAGTTGAGTTAAGAATATTATTAGAGCCAACAAAAAGAAATGAGTGGGTGACATAACAACGACAGTGGAAAAAGATACAACAGAATGAAATATGAAACAACCATATGATACAACGAAGACGCTAGCAGTGAAATATAGTAAACCAGAGAGACCAATAAGGAACAATGAATGCAAATCAATCACTGAAACTGAAGGACAGAGAAACAAATGGGTTGAACACTCTGAGGAACTCTTGAATAGATCTGGGAGGATTTGATGTACAAGTAAAGGGGAGGATCAGCTAAGCAACAGTAGCATTACCACAACTGAAGAACATATGCAAATCAAAACAACTGCCAACCAACATCAAGGTCTACATATGATACTCAATGTTCGTTGGTCGGATACTAACGAAAAATCCCACTGGATATCGAACACACTAGGACCATTGGAGTTGAAAATTAGGAATTTATGCTGCAGGTGGATAGGACATAGAAAATCATCAGACTGCATGACGAGGCAAGCTGTAATTTGGAATCCTGAGGGGAAAGTGAAAGGCGAAACAACAAATTGTTTTTGGAACTGGAGGCAGACATCAAAAGGATGAATGTCACCTGGAAACAACTGGAAAGGAGAGTTCAGTATAGAGATGATTGTAGAATTCTGGTCGATGGCCTTTGGTTCACTGGAGGTAACAGGCGTAAGTAAGTAAGTAAGATTACATGTTCTATCATGTAATGTGTTTACTCAGTACGCTACCTACTATGATCAACAATAACATTTGCAAATATGGCTGTCGAAATCTAATTTAATAATATTCGAATGTTTTGTGAATAGCACAGAAGTCAGTTCTTTTGAAAGATTCAAGTATTCGAAACATTTCGTAAGGCAAAGATAATAATGAAACGAAGTAAAGGTAAGAACCAGTACAATTTTCTTCTCCTTGAATCTTATTCTAATATAAGAAATAGAATGAGAATTCATAGTAATCAAACACACAGTTCATTATCTCGGTAAGAATAATTGAAATTACATGCCACAATCATTAATATTCCATTTATATTTTGATGAGATTGGAGTAAATGATAGTGGCCTATTCAACTATATAGAACAAACAGATATTGGTAGTGACAGAGTAGACCTAATGGTTAAGTTGATACTATGAAGAAACTGTAGCCAACTGTTCATAACGATGACAGCAATAAGTGTTTCCATTAATTCAAAACTTCTGAGATAAAATTGCAAAATGTTGCTTTGTATCATTTTTCGAGTACAAAACTTAGTTGTCTGTCATTTCACCGAAATATCTTTTCAGTCTCTGACATTTGCTATGTAATACTCATAAATACTCTTCGTATAAACATGAAAATACCCAAACCTCTTATTATAAATGTGATGTTTGAGAAGAAGGGAGAATGTTTATAATAACTAGCCTTTCAGTCTCAATTATTTAATATTGACCAATATTTAGTTTAATATCCTAACGGCCATATAAGCGGGTCTCATTTTCATTCCTTAAAAGTAATGGATTATTCCAAAACAACTATGTTTTACAGTGATCAGTACGTAAGTCAGATAATCAGCTTTCAATTTTATGAACGGGGTGGATGATCCAGGAAATCAAAATCTTACAATCAAAAACATTTTAAATGAACTTTTTGTCAAATGTTTCATACATTTGTGTCCATTATTATTATTATTATTATTATTATTAATGGCTTTATTCTATATTATAATCTGGTACAAGATAGAATTCTCAGCACGAGTTATTTCAACAAGTTTTTTCCCAAAAAAAATAAAACCAAAAAAAAAAAAAACAGAAATAAAATATAAAAAAGGTTTAAGAAAATCTGAGTTTATACAAATTATCGAATATGGGACATGCTTAAGAATACAGGTTATTTAATAGGTCAACTCTAACAGCCTGTTCGTCACAAAGTAAATTAGCTAAGTAAGGTATTACAGAACTTTTATAGATTTGCTTGCGTGCATGAATTTTAATGTATTTACGTCTCGTTCTACCAGAAGATATACAAAGAGAAAGATATGAATGAAGCGGATGGTTAGTATCTGATAAGATAACACCTGCCAAGAGTTTGCAAGCCTTAAGATGTCTATCCACAAGCATATTAACAATGACTTCAAAAAATTCACCACATAACTTGTAAACTGCCTTCAGCACTCTACGCAAAATAGCAAAGTCTTTTCTCAAAAGCCCAGGAAAGAATAATGGAGAACAATATAAAATAATAGGTAATATGCAGGAATTTACAAAGTGTAAGAGTAAATGGCGAGTAATCCCAAAAGCATGCAGCCTCTTTATGTAGTATGTCAAACGGTAAACTTTTTTCGATAACAGCAAAACATGAGAAGACCAAGAAAGATCAGAGGAAAAAATAACACCAAGATATTTGACCTTCGACACTGTGTTTATTAAGGAGTCTCCAATGGCACAAGCATTATGGGATCCCAACATAGAGTATAGGTTCTGTCCATGTCTCAAGCTAAAATTAACAGCTTGACATTTAGATGGATTGAGTAAGAGACCATTACCAACAGACCACCTTTCAATACGAGATAAAAAGTCATTCATTTCTATAGGATGTAAGGAGGTAGAAATTGGCATACATACGGTGAGGTCGTCCGCATATTTTACAA